CAAAGATGAACATAATTAACACCAGGTCATATTTTGTCTTGTACTATTTTTTAATTATTTCAAGGATATTAGTATTGTCTCCTCAGCTGGTCTGTGAATTATTTGAGAGTGAAACCATATCTTACTCATACCAATATTTTGCAGAGTTTAGTAAAATTTAACAACAGAAGCTTAATAAACAAACATTGGTCAAAATAAATTCTATCTTGGAAAAGCCAGTTCCATTTAATCTTTAATCCTTCATACAATGTAAAGAATATGGATGCTGTGCATCTTTTGTCTGGGCTGGTTGAGAGAGGTTCATATAATGAATTCAGTTTTTCAAAGTATGTTCCTTTGAGCATCTACTAAATGCCAGGGATTATACCCTTGATTTCAGGAAGAAAGACAATGAAACAGGAAATTACCATCCAGTTTGATAAATGTTTTCTCAGAGGAAATGATATCTAAGTTGATAAACGAATATGAAAGAGGACTTTCAATTCCATCCATGAACAGCTATGAAAGCTAGACAAAATATATAAAAACTATTTTCAGGCACTGGTCAGCAGTCAATGCAGAGCTCAATACTTGACAAAAGGGAAGCACAGTAGCTAAAGGCTCGTTGGCCCTGGCTCTCTCTATGAGGGCACTTTCCTTATTGAGCACAGGGAAATCGAGTCCAAACAGAGGATAGCAGTTTTGCTGGGTGGAGGAAACAGTAATTGGAGTTGGGGCTACAAAGATGACTAGGATTTGATGGGGGCAGGCAGAAAGGAGAGACACAGAGAAAAAGTTCCCAGAACTCTACTGAAAATTTCCTTCAGGTCCTTGGCTGACTCCTAAGCTATATATGCACAGTGTAAGATTCTGGAAAATCTATTAGAGAACAGGCACTGGGGGCAGAGATTTTAGAGGCTGCCCAGTGCTTGGGAGATGTTGAGGTTCTTGCCCAGTCAGAATGGAGAAACTTTAATGAGCACCTTGGGCTTTCAGTTGAGACCCCAGAAAATCCACACCCTAGGAGTAAAGACTGCACCTTAGGAGTAAGGGCAAAACTTGATGATACCTGTTCAAACCAAGCCCCAAATCAAGCCATGGTAAGATCTAGGTGGTCTCACCTGTATTTTAATCACCTATCAGAACAAAATGTAGCATTCTTTAAAGGAAGGTAACATAATCTAGAGCCTCTACAGTGTACCATTCACGATGTTCAGCATAGAATAAAAAAAATACTAAACAGGCAAAGAATAAGGAAAGAGTGACTGATAACCATAAGATAAAATAGTTACTAGAAGCAGACCTAGAGATGATCCAGATATTGAAGTTAGCCAACAAGGACTTCAAAATAACTACAATCAATATGTTTAAAAAAATAGAGTAAAAGATGGAAAAAAGGGAGAAAGATTATTTTAATAGAATTAGAGTCTATAAAAAAGAATCAAATGGAAATTCAGTCACCACAAAATAAAATATCTATAATTAAGAACTCATCAGATGTGTTTAGCTGCACGATATATCTCATGTACATACCAAAAAAATTCCTGAGAATATATTAATGAATAGAATCCAATATATATATGAATACGTGGTGACCAAGTGAAGTTTATCCCAGGAATGCAAATTTGGTTTAATACTCAAAAAAATCAATCAATGAGTATAATTAACCATAATAACCAAATAAAAGAGAAAAACCATATAACATCTCAATCTTTGCAGAAAAAGCATCTGATAAAATTTAACACCTATTCATATATGCACACAAAAACGCAGAAAACTAGGAATAGGAGAAAGCTTCCTTAACCCGAAGGTATCATAACAAATTGAATAAACTACAGTTAACATCTTACCTAATTATGAAATATTGAAAGTTTTCCCTCTAATAAAGGAAATAAGAAAAGCATGTTCAGTATCACAACTTCTATTCAACCTTGTACTGAAAGTCCTGGCCATTGCAATTAGGAAGGAAAAAGAAATAAAAGCTATGAAAATTGGAAAAGAAGAAATAAAACTGTAATTATTTCAGATGATCTGCTTGTATGCATAGAAAATTCAAAAGAGTCTATAAGAAAACTATTAAAAAATAGTAAAGGAATTTAGTAAAGTTGCTGGATACAATGTAACTAGACAAAAATCAATTGTGTTTTTCTATACTAGCCACAAAGATTAGAAAATAAAATAACATTCTGTTTTAATTAGCATAAAATATCAAATACTAGGAATTAACGTAATAAAAGATATGTAAGAATTTTACACTAAAAATTTCAAAGCACTATTGAGAGACATTTTTTTTAAAACAGAGGATATACACATTCATGGATTGGAAGACTCAGTTTTTTTTTTTTTTTTT